AGAGGAAGAGGAAAAAAAACATATATATGTGCATAAGCAAGAAAGTAGAAGTGGAATATTATTGATGATAACATGCTTGATTGGGTCACTGTGCAGTCTATTCTAGATGGGAAATTACATTTAGTACGTTGTGATGATGCTCAGGGAATGAATGTTAGGGAAAAAAAAAAAGAACGAAAACAAAAAACAAACAAAAAAAAACGGTTAAACTATTCGTACCATTTAAAAAAAAAAATTGGATATTTGATGGCTGCAGTGAGCGGTATGGGCCCAGTTGGGTTCTACTTTATAGTATGCTCTTTTTACCCAATGGGGTTTAGGCCTAAAGTCAGACTTGAGTTCATGTAGAGGCATGTGTCAGCTGTGATAACTATTGGAGAGACTTAGACTAATTAAGATCACTGACAGATCATTTGGGGAGGGGTGAGGCACGGAGGGCAATCGGGGATGACAGGGACAATGTGGGAGGAGGATGGGTCATAACAGAGGGAGGGGGATGGGGAATCTAGGATGGTAAAACAAAAGGCAAGGTATGCAGGACACAAGAATTGGGAAATTATTTGCTGAGAACATATATGTTGACGTGCTTGATTGAGCCAATGCACAGTGTATTTTGGATGGAAAATTCATTTGTGTGTTGTGATGGGAAAAAAAGATTATAATAAAAAATAACTATAAAAAAAAAGAGAGAAGAGGATAGAGAAAGATAGCAAGTGAACAATAGAGAGGATGTTAGTGAGAAACAGATATGGTTTATTATCTGTTGATGACGACGTGTATAGTATTCTCAACTGGACTGGTCTGGGAAGTATTTCATGATGGGTGAAGCCTTTAACAAGCAAAATGAGAAATAGTGATTGACTTTTAAAAAATTATAATAATAATAATTATTGGGAAATGCATGGAAAAGACATTGAATGATAAAGCCGGGAGATTGATGTCTCTGTATTGACTGACATGCATGGCATCCCCTTTTGAAAAAGCAATGGAAGTCAATGTAAAGCTATATGTAATCCAATGTAATATAAAGAAGATTATGATGATAATATAAATAAAAAAAAGATATATTACAAAGTGTGAAATAATACTCAAGATATTTAAGAATGAGTAACTTAATAATACAACTAAAAGTTCAAATATATTTGTCTCTTTATAATATATAATTACATAACAATATATTATAATAGACATTGACATGTATAAAATATTAGTAGAAATTAATATTTACTATTACTACGAAATATCACTATAATAACTGATACAGTCAATGACTAGAGTATTGAGATTTACTATTGTATTTAATGCAGCTACACAGTAATGCAACTACTAAGGTGTACTATTTCTAGAACTACTATTAAAATATGCTACTATTTCACTTCTAGGTTGTACCCACAAAAATGCCTGTACATGTTTGTCAAAAGAAATACTTGTCACAATCCACAAAAGGAAGATCTTGACTCTCTATGAATTATGAAGTGGAAAATGTTTATGATAACTATATAATTTAATATTACATGACAATAGAAAAGAATGACCCACTGATGCATGCAAATACGTGGATGAATATCACAAACATGATGCTAAGCAAAAGAAAATACATATAAAACAGTTTATAGTGTATGATTCCAGTTATATAAAGTTCAAAACATATCTGTGATGCTACAAGTCAGGGTATTGATTACCTTTGGAGGCAGGGTAGTGAGTAGAAGAGGACACAAAGCGGTCTTTTAGAGAACTGGTAATGTTTTGCTTCAGGTTTCATGAGTGTATTTCCTTTGTGAAAATTCATTGAGCTACATATTTAATATTTACTTATTTATAAGTAAGTATATTATATTTTATATGTATGCTATGCTTCCATTACAGTTTACATTAAAATACCATTGTTAAAATTCCTTGCTTGTCCAAATTAAAACTCACTGTTATCATTAGATACAAATTTTTGTTGGGTGCTCATCCTACATTTCTATTCTCTAGTTGTAGCCTGGAAAGAATTTTTCTTTCTGAGGACCAGCCCAAGGGCGGGAAGATTTTCTCTGTGTATGTAGGATCTACTACAGTAGCCTAGACTTGGACTTGGATTTATTCATGCTTTGCAACTGAGCATGATATTTTAAAACTTCATGAGCATCATCCAAGTCCCAGGATTTCAGGGATTATTGTGCAGATCATATAATAAATAACTAGGGACTAGACACCTAACTGCTCCTTTCTTCCCATCCTTGCATTGAAATGTCCATTCACATCATCTTAAATGTGAAATGGCTGAGTCGAAATACTGCTCCTCCTGTATAGTCAAGTCATAAGTAAATCGTGGAGCTGGGAAGCTACAATGTGAGAAGCATGTGGCTATTTTGAGCTTCTTCCAGCAGTTTCAGTAGATGCCTGCCTGCAGAAATTTAAACTGAAACCCGCACAGATGACTTTTGGCCTTCTAACCCCGTATCTGATGATTTGTGAGCAACACGGTTATGTCTCAAAAAATTCCCTAATATCTTAACAAGAGAAAGAAAAAAAAGGAGAGGCATTGCTTGTAAAGACATGCATGATCTAATTCTGTAGTAGAATGGTCTACTACTAGATTTAATTCTACTGAAATACAATGACACTAAATTGCCCAAGAAGTTGGTGGTCTTTCTAGGAAAGCTGTTCAGAAAAGAAAACTCTCTTGCTACCAGAGGGTATCTGGCATTGGAAAGACAATGGAAACTATATGGTCTTGAACAAAAATTGAAAAGGGCACATAGTAGCAGAGCAGACAGAACCAATGAATGTGGTTTCCTTGTCTATCCTCTTTTGACTGTTGTCTTGGCAACCAAAAAATTGGAGGCTGTAGTAACTCAAAAGACTATACTCAGAATGCCTTTTTCCTCCCTTCTTCATTATCTTTATCAAAAGTCAAGTGTTCTGGGAACCAGCAGTTAGCGTAATGGCTATGTCGCTGGACTTCCACGTAGTCGACCGCGGTTCGCGTCCCGGACCTGGTGGCTTAAAACTCACGCCGGGGGCGTGTGCGTGCGTGCCCAAGATCCCGGGAGGAGAATGAAGGAGAAGGGATTGAGGCGTGACCATCCCCCCTGGGGGGTGATTTCTCGCTTTCTGTCTCTATGTCTCTCTCTGTCTGTCTGGCGAGCGCACGCGCCCTATAGTGGAAAAAAAAAAAAAAGTCAAGTGTTCTGTCACTATCATCAATTACCATCATTACTTTAATTATGGCTTTCCCATACAATGAAAAAGTTTACACACTTATTAGAAAGAATTAGAAAACAGAGAAGATGGAAATTGTTAACAAGTCCCTGAATAGTCTTTAAGTAATTTCCTACCGGAAAATAAGGAGATGGTTGCAATGACATTAGGCCAGAACTTTCTGGCTAGAACCCTCCCTTACTGGTAGCCTACACCTATAGATGGGCCCGTAAAGTCACAATGGAAGGCGAGCTAATCAAAGTGCTCACCATTCTCGTGACCCAATCATCCACCCCTTCCATATAAATTCACCATGTCTCCTTGGTAGTGGGGGGCTGAAGCACCTCTGGCTTTAGACCCTGGGTGTTCGTTCTCTCAATAAACTTTCATTTTTTTCTTAAGAAAACCACTTCCTGAGTCTTACTCTGAACTGTGACAGAAATGTTTTCTGAATCTACTAATTCTCCTGAAGACAAATGTAAGCATGATAATGGACTTCCTTATAGCTTTTTGAAGCTTAAATACTGAAACGCCTTCAAAAACAGAAGACTAAAGAAAACGTAGCAGGTACCCTTGCCATCCTATTTTTGCATGTATACACATTTTGCCATATTTGCTTCAGAAATAATTAAAATATTAATATATAAATATAAAATAATAAAAAGGAAATAAGGATATAACTAAAGTCCAAAAATAAAAAAAGTAATACAGATATAACTAAAGTCTGACTTCACTTTATTCTTTTTCGTTCTTTTCCTTTCTAGAGGTAACCACTACCTGTTGGTGTATATGGTTTTGGGGCCTATTTTTTTTTCTGATGAAATAAAGAGATGAAGATAGATACGTAGATACCAGATGAATAGAAAGACATTTTGTGAAGTTAGAAGTAGGCATAGGGCTCCTCATTAATAAACCTCATCACTCATTCACTATTATCTTATTTAAACCTCACAAGAAACATTGAAACCGTATTATTTGAATCTCCCACTGATCTTTTCCACAGATCAGGAATCTGTGATGGAAAGAATTTTAATTATTTGCTTAAGGCTTCTTACACAAGTAGAAGTAGAAGAATTAGGCTCAAATTGCAAAGCCTTTTTACTCACCAGGCTACCTTTTCAGCGCCAGTTTTGCTTCACGGTTTATTTTTGTAAAGCATGGGTAGGG